CGTTGGCATTTGCAAAGCAATTTGCTCCATAGGTAAGTCTGGGAACATATAGAAGATACGTGCTTCTTAATCTCCCTGCTTCAAAGTGAACCTGTCATTTTTCCTGTGTTGACAAAATACTAACCCAACAGCAACCACTGCCTCTTTAGCTTGAAGGAAACCGAACACTTGCAAAAAAGTGTACCTGTTGTGTAATATTTGTGCAGCGCTCATCGGTAAAGATCTCTTCAATATTGCTGGGACACTGGAGTGTAAGCAGAGGCAATAAGAATAAGATATAATAACTTACAGTCAAAAAAATGGTAATGATATAGGACATAAGACAATCACATACTTTTGTGATGTTTAATGCTGTGTTGACATTCTTTACTGCTTCCTCAAAATTCTCCTCATCTTCTGGTACTCCATTCTCTTTCTTTAGGACGCCTATAACCAAAAAACAAATTTAACCAGATTGTATTCACTTCATGCAGTCCTTACAACTAGAACAGTTTAATCTGCCAGTATTGATTGAGGTGGACCCTGACCTCAAAGCCTAAAATGTATATGCTCAATAAAATTATCCTGGAGGTCTTAATACTACATTTGCAGGTATATATGTGTTCTCTAGCAACTTCAGCGCAAAATTATAGCTAATTTGCCTACAAACGTCAGGTGGTCATAATAATCTGGCCACTCAGTGTATATATATTTCACTGCATTTGTGCTGCAAAGTCATGGCAGGTTACAGAAACAAAACTTAAAATACTATCCTAGACATATGACCAAAGAATGAAATCATTTACCTTGCCTGATCAAATCCCGGAAAGCTTCCTTATCTTTATACGTTTTGGGGATCTGGCCTGCATTCTAGAAGTAAAAGTTCGCTGTCAGATTACATTCCAGGCAGCAAGAGGAAATGCTTGGTCACCCAACAGATACATACATACATACCTCTTTGCGCCATTTCTCCAAATACTTGGCGATGATCACAATCCATGGAGTGTGAGAGTGATCCTAAACATCAAGACAAATCATTGTGTATAATTAATAGAAACTTGGGTTACTAATGTTGCAATCCACAATTCCACCAACCACATTCACAAGGTGCAAATAATAGCTTATTAAAAGGATAATTATATATCCAGATAACCCCTTTGTTCTGCATACCTTTCTGTCCATGTGATCCAGGTCATACAGCTGCAGATGTTCCCGGAGCTCACAAAAAGGCTGATCCAACCTCAGATCCTCAAGGGCATTATCAGGATGGGATTCTATAACTGGAATGTCACAGCAATGTTTGGGTTAGTAGCATTTCGGTTGATCAAAAGAGCAAACAAAAACTCCTCATGTACACCTATCCATGGCCAGATGTTTGTGGACCCCTGGCCATCACACCTACATACAGAGGCAAAAGTATGCAGACACCCATCCAAATGACTGAGTTCAGGTGTTTCCAGTGGATGGGTATTTTGTACAGCATACAAATACATTTTAGACAATTGTGTGCTTCCACAAGGTGGGGAAGGCACTTTTCTGTTCCAGCATGACTGGTCCCCTGTACACAAAGCCAGCTCCATAAAGATATGGTTTGATTGATTTGGTGTAGAGGAACTCAATGACGTGCACGAAGTCCCAACCTCAACCCTATTGAACACCTTTGGGATGAACTAGATCGCAACTGCAAACCAGGTTTTCCCATCCAACTTAAGTACCTGACCTCACAAATGCTCTTTTTGGCTGAAAGTCCTGCAGACACACTCAAACCGTGTGAAGCGCCTTTCCAGAAGAGTAAGGGCTACTCCATCTGGTTTTAGAGAGACAGAGATGGGCTCATCATTGTGCTGCTTCTCCTTCACAGGATGGGAAGGAGACCTGTAAGCCCACATTCAAACCTACACGGGTTTGGCGCATTTTCGCGGAAACGTAGCAAAACGTGCAACATACTGTCATTGCTGTTAATTTCTAATTGCACCCCAAACTTGACCAGGAAAATGTGCGTTTTTGCTTTGTATTTGTGCGCATGAAAACGTGCACAAATGCGGAAGCAAAAAATGCGGAATGTGTGTTGCAGAATCTGTCCTACATGTGCTTTTTTGCTGCACTAAGTGCCAGTTCACACCACAAAGAGTGCGTTCCAGAGGCCCGGCCGGTTCCCTGCATTCAGGGGTGGGAGGGGGCGTGGTGGTGCATTGAAGTCAATGGCACTGCAGCCACACCCCCAGTGCGATTGCCCGCACCAGAACGCGTGGCAATGCTGCATGCACTATTCTTGCAGATCGCACTGGACCGGAACGCAGGCACTAATGTGCCACACGTTCGCGTGTGGGGGCGGTCGCACTGCAGACAGAGGGCGTGGCTGCGGTGCCATTGACTTCAATGCACTGCCACACCACCTCCCGCCCTTGAACGCAGGGAGCAGACCGGGTTGCGTTCCAGAGGCCGAATGCTCTGGAAAGCACTCTTTGTGGTGTGAACCAGGCCCTCAGGCCACATGGAACTCAATGGGGACGTGCAACAAATGCGGGATTAGTGTTACTGCTCTGCAAAAGAGAAACTTTAAGTCTACTGCCCAGCCAGACAAGGCTGTGCTGTGTGGCAGAGCTGTGTAACTTTTAGAACTAGATGGACAGAAATATATATATTTTATCAGTGAATTTAGCTGTTTGCCTGGAGTTCAGTCTCTACTAAACCTAAGAAAGAGAGATTGCCATTGCTGACCTCTCCTACAAAAATACTAGTTGCCAGAGTAGTATAGTATACTGTACCACATGTAAACCTGATAAATCTTTGATGCTGTCTGTTTTCACTTGAAAAAAATCTTACCAGTATGTTCTTTGACAATTATTCTCATATAGCCCACAAAGCCATATGCTCGGCAAACCAAAAGCGGAATATTAGCGTTCCACAGCGTCTCACCCAAACACAGCAAAGTGCTGAAACAGAGAGACAAAGAGTGATATCAATGGGAGTAGAACTATAGTATATATACTGTACACAAGAGAATTTTTGTACAAGTCATTCTGAATTGAGAAAGCTGCTTGGATGACCAGTGAAATGTCTTCAAGGAAAATACAGCAAGTCCAGTTGCCTTGACTCATTTTTTACAGATATACCATGACCTGGATGAATGAGAACCTTCACAGACACAAGAGAATGGTAATATTTAACTATCATGTGAAGTTACCAAAAGCACTTGTACTTGTTTGGTGCACTCAGGTCAATAGAAGATGATTCGGATAGGATGCTATAGACTGTAGCACATTCTCCTTTGTCTAAAGACACACTGTCATCTTACTCATTCCAGGCCAAGTGCCAGTGTTCATGAAAAGGGCCCTACCCCAAACCCTCAACTTCCCCCCCTCCCGACTGAAACTCACCTTGCCCTCAGTGATCCTTCTACTACTGCAGCTGGCACCAAAATACCCAGAGTCAGCTGGTGTCAGAGGCTAGAAGTAGTGGTGACATCACCCTTTCTGTCGATTTACCGCAAAGCCTGAACACTGCCACATGGGTCCTCACATCACCCGACCATTCACACTATCGTTACATGGATGGCAAAAGTGGCAGACGGGCAAGGAGAAGGCGGGGGGAAGAGGCAGAGCGGGAGGGAGGCCAAGTTGCTGCACCATGGGCCTCCAAGTTGTACTTGCCCCCTGGGCTAAAAGTTGCCAGTCAGCCCCTGGGAGGAGGTCACATTCGCCCCCCAAGAACTGGGTATTTTGCACCGGTAAAGCAGTGGAAGGATTGGAAGTGGTAGAGCTGGCAATGTAGCATATCAGTGAATTGGGGGGGCACCTTTACACAGACACTGTCACTTTGCCCTGAATGTGTAAAGCGACATTGTCTCTTTATAGACATTACAAACTTACCTCTCTGATAACTGAGTGGCAATCACTAAAGTAAATTTGTTGAAGAATGCTGGGTCACTCTCTAGAAGTTGATCCGGATGCTAAAGAAAAAAAAAAGGGAGGGCATACCAGTCAAAAATAATCCCTTAAAGCAGAACGCCAGCCAATAAATATAATAAAAACTTAATAGTTAATTCAGCGACATCCCGCCGCGTCCTGTACAAAATCTACAATGTGAGCTCTATTAGCACGCCCCCAACATCTAAGCAACAAGCACTCTACCACTGTTTCAAAAATGCTCTCCCTCTGTCTCATAACCTTGCATGCTCAATGCGCTAACCCTCTCCTCGTCCTGAGCTCAGCCGCTGCTGATGAAGAAAGAAGACCACTATGCGCATATGTGGCTGTGTTTTTCTAAATATTGGGGCCCTTTTATTGCATAGTACTTTTAAATACAACGGTGAACATACCCTTTAACCTCTGTCTGTAGTCCATACAACAGGTGACACTTTGCTGCTAAAACCCAGAGATAAAATACAAACCTGAGCCACGTAATTCCCCGTGACGTCTTCATTTAACTCCTGCAACAGCTCCATGGCGGTCTGAGCTCGACTCTAATAAGAAAACGTTAAAAATCAGAAGGTTACAGAATGAAAAGGCCGTAGTATGTAAAGCACTCCAACGTTTAAAATTAAAATAAGATGAGGTAAGAAAAGAAAGAGGATAGGAGGATTCTCAGAAGACAAACTAAGAAGGAAAGAAATATGGGACAGACAGCATGCCAAAACAATAAATAAAATGACATTTGGTTCTACATGCCGGCCCTGTGGGAATGGGTGGCGTATGGGAGAAATTAAGACCTTCAGTGGGCATCACTGGCAAAACTGATTTGTATTTTTTTTTTTTAAATGCACATTTTAGACCTGAACATTACTTAAACCTCCCCAAAATTATAGGTTATATTTTCCTAAAGTGACGACCCAAGAGAATAAAATGGTGGCAGATGCAATTAACATGATACTAGTGCGGGGGGCGTGGCTTGCTCGCGGACGTGGACGGTCGCATGGAGTGAGAGCTCCGGCTATCTACCCAGGAACGAGCCTCAGGAACACTCACCCGTGCCCTAATTTTCACCCTCATGGGCAGAACGGGCAAGAAGGGAGCTAAGGCGAGAGCCCGGAATACTCCGCCGGCTCTGATCCCGTCCATAGGCGCCTTCTTCCGCCCCTCGGGCTCCCACGCGGCCTCACCGCGACTAGGCCTCGAGACCGGGGACCTGCCTGACTCCGAGGCATCCTCCCCTCTTCACCAGCAGCCTGTGGCGGACTCGGACTCCTCCATGACCGGGGATGACAGCGCGTCACTGCGGAACGACGACATGTTCCAGCGATATTTTGCTATGTTGCCCACGAAGTCGGAACTGGAGGGCATGTTCTCGCGCCTGGAGGCCTCTCACCGCCATGATATGACAGCGCTCCAGGAGGGCCTGGCAGGCTTTGGACGCAGGCTGGAGGTGGTGGAATCCGCGACTGCAACGGTGTCATCCTCGGTCCGGCAATTACAGGAGGAGGTAGGCAGACAGCGTGACACCCTGCTCAACCTGTCTCTCCGCATAGACGACCAGGAGGACCGTCATAGGCGCAACAACATTAGATTGCGGGGCATCCCTGAGGCAACGGGCCTAGCATACCTCAAAGCCACGATCTTGGGCATTTTCAACATGCTCTTGGGTAACCCACCCACCCATCCCCTAGAACTGGACAGAGTTCATAGGGTCCCCGGCTTCCGCATCTCCGCCCAGCAACTGCCTAGAGACGTCCTCTGCAGGGTGCATTTTTTCCAACAGCGGGAGGCCAGCCTCTCCAAGGCAAGGGATAGAGGCCCCATAGACTTTGACGGTGCGCAAATATTGTTGTTCCCTGACCTCTCTCGGAATACCCTGGCCAGGCGCAGGGCCCTCAAACCCCTCACGCAATTGCTACAACAGCAAGCCATCCAGTACCGGTGGGGCTACCCCTTTCATCTGGTTTATTTCCACACACCCCCTCCCTTCTTTATGTATGTTCCTATCTACCCTGCTCTCCTTCTAGTTTGTCTGTATTGAATGTTCTCAGTACAGCGCCTCGGTCACCTTTTTCTACGGGTCCACCGATTGCCTGCTCCTCTGATGTGATTCGCCCCAGACGGCGAGGCATTGATCATAACCTTACATGGTGGCGATTTATATATTATGTTCAGCTCAGGGATTGCATAACTGCATAACTGCCTATAGCATATGTGCCTTCTATGCCCTAAGGCCCGGACGCGCTATGTATCTGATTGATGGGACCACAGGTCTTTGTGCTGTATGTACACCTTTTTGTTTCTGTTATTGTACCCACGTTCTTTTGTCTTTGTAAAAATTCAATAAAAACTTATTTCTGAAAAAAAACATGATACTAGTGCAATGGTTTATCAAACCCATATTATTTGTAAAAATTATGCTAAAGTCTATTGGACCGCTAAGGTCTCCTGTGCATTCCATTGAAGCTAATCAAGCAATTGTAAAGCTTTCAATCAGAAAAACATCTTGCTATGTAGATTATCTGTAATATATGTTGCATACTTTGACAGTCATTGTACCGGTGAGCAGAAAGGCCGGCCAACATCTTCCAACTAAGATCATTATTAATATGGTGTTGCTGCATATCCAAGATGAATAGTAATCGGCACCTTGTGACAGAAGCACTTTAAATCTTATTAACATTACCACTACTAAATAAATAAATAAGTTGAGCTTACCTTCCCAATACTACTTCTGGTCAGGAAAAAACTGAGGAGGGAAACAAATGAAAAAATACATTTTAAAATTTCAACAGAAATCTTCTATAAAATGTCAACCCAACGCAAACCGATGTTTCCATCCAAGGCCGATGGCAGCCACTTCAATCACCTATTTATTTCTTAGTGCATTTCCATTTCTGAAAACCAATTTCAATGACACCTCCCCCCCTACACTATTCTATGTTTCCATCTAAAGCTGATGGCAGCCACTTCAATCACCTATTTACTTCTTAGAGTGTATTTCCACTTCTGCAAACCAATTTCAGTGACTACCCCCACCACCATTATATGTTTCCAACAAAGGCTAATGGCAGCCTCTTCAATCGCCTATTCCTTTCTTAGAGTGTATTTCCACTGCTGTAAACCAATTACAGAACTTAATGCAGAGCGTTCTTAACCCTTGCAGTGGGCTCATGCTCGTTTTTGTTTAGGTGCCAACATAAAAAGTTATACTCACCCGATCCTCAGAACCGGCTTGCTCTTAGACTGTAATATATCGATAGATATCTTGCTGCACTCCTTACCGGACATATAAGTAGTAACCTGATAGAACAGGTGGGTACTTGCAGCGACAACGGATGGCACCGTCAACAACTGAAATGTTCAAAAAATATCACCAGCACACTAGGATTCAAATGAAATTAACATTTGAATAGCAATGTTCCTTGATTAAATGGACTCGTACTCCTAGACTGGTCCCTGGAGCCTCTCTCCCCCTCCTCTGCAGAGGTCCCGGAGTCATCATGTTCTATACATAGTGTATAGGACGTGAGGATGTCGAGGGACATACCACGCTGCAGCAGAGACGGAGACAGGCTTCAGAGACTGGAGCAGCAGCAAGCTGGCTCTGAGGATCGGATGAGTATAACTTTTTTTTAAGCACCTAGACAAAAAGCGAGCAGTGGGGCATCCCCACTGCAAGGGTGGGTTAAGAACACTTTGCCCGCAACATTACATAAAAGGGGAATGCTAAATAAGATCTTTTAGCAAGTAAAAATGTGAGCATCAATTTAAAATATTTGTTTGTTCATGTGAATGGGAACCTGTAATAAATATAAAGTAGGCGTTATCCCAATTTGGCTGCAAACGTGGAAATACACTTTAAGCTCTTGTCTGCAAGTAAGATCTCTGCACTTCCCATTTCTTTTTACATTACACAGCAGAGGGAGACTTCACAGCTATTGGGTAAGTCAGTCACCAGCATTAACTCAGTGACATATTAGTTTTTGTGAACTGATACTTTAAAAAGGTAACCCATCAGAAATAGGAAATCAGCAACAATTACTGCAGACTTGTTTTTTTCAGCTACAAGCTCCTGGGCTGCCATCTTTATCCTTTGTCCACAATTGGGGAGTCACTGACACAGGATGGGAATGAAGGTCAATAATGAGGATACTTCACTGGAAGCATGCTTGAGTCATGTGTTGTGGTCAGTGACTCACCAAGTATTATAGCACAGATGAAGAAGACAGGGCTAGATCTTGTAGGTTCAAAAACAAATTAGCAGTTGCAGTTCCCATATAATCTGACAGGTGCATCTACAAATGAAAAACTTTAAATCTGCGCTTATAGATGATAAATTCATAATATGGGAAATGAAGCTGCCACAATACAGACAACCAAGTCCTAATGGTATAAACTAGGGATGCACCGTTAGCGATACTAGTATCGGTGCCAATACCAAGTATTTGGGTGAGTACTCGTACTCGCCCAAATGCTCCGATACCTAGCACGAGTACTTCCTGTATCAGGGAGCCGGCAGCGCATCATTACACGCTGCCCGGTTTCCTGATTGGCCAGGGAACGGCTCCATGCTCTCTCATCACTTGTGATGAGAGAGCATGGAGCCGACTTCCCGGCCAATCAGGAAGCCGGGTAGCGTGCAATGACGCGCTGCCCGGCTTCCCGATTGGTGAGGAAGCTAGCAAATCCGGAAGGCGGGCGCCGTGTAATGACGCAGCGCCCGGCATTCTGATTGGCCGGGAAGCCGCCGTCATGCTCCCTCGTCACCTCATGGATCATGATATTAAGAAAGTGACCTTAAAGCATTAGTTTGTATTGCTTTAGAAAAAATGTGACCTGTCCCTTTAAGAAAAAGTATCGGTAATTGGTATCTGCGAGTACTTGATCAAAAGTATCGGTACTCGTACTGGGTCTTAAAAAAGTGGTATTGGTGCATCCCTAGTATAAACAATGATTTTGCGGCGCTAAACCCCCTAATATGCTTTAATCTAGATATTTAAACACATTTATTGATTTACTCTTAATGTGCCATAAACCTTATGTTTGTGAACAAAATGTCCATTGGACGGGATAAATATTATATCGAAAATATAAATATTCCAGTTTAATCCATCTACAAATTAAATATTATT